TTTTAAAAGTACCTAACTAATTTAATTTTAAATATCTGCAAATACAATTATAAAATGAAAAGGAAATCTTTAGTAAAATTAAATATCATTGTAAAGTCGAATTCGTCGGGTTGGGTTATTAACATCGAAAATTACCTACAAACTCGTATAGCATCGTAAAAAACGGTCACGTAGAGGTAGAGTGAATTTGAAGGCAAGCACTTTATTGCATGCATAGTGCATTGTCCATTTAAAAGTTTGCAGACATTAAATAAATTAGTTTTAGTATTTTTGGGAAATTGTTTATTTTATATCTTTAAAATGTGACCCGAATGTCACAGTATGTTCCTGTGGCCTTCTTAATTTTTATTTTTTGTCGATAACCCAGTAGTAAGCGCCATTTTTGAATGTTAACTTGTTTTTAAGGTGTTATTATTGACTCGAATATGAAATAACTGCCTCCGCGACAAACCAATTCATGTGTTTTAAATGTAGGTACTTCCATATGTAACTTGTACTTTATCTAGCGCAAACAATGCGATATTATAAATATTTAATTATGTGTATGTATTAATTAGAGCGATTTGTAATAAACAACTATTTTTGTGAAATCATCTCGTCATTAAAAAGTTTCCATTAATCGTTTTGTTTTATTTCTAAATGATCATTCTTAATTGTTTTGGATCAAACAAACACTAAAAATTTCTCCATTGCTTATAAGGTAGTAAGTAATATTATTAAATCAAATTTGGAATAGAAAACACTGCAGAAAAAGCTAAAATACTTCAGCATCAGACATACATATATATTAGGTATATTTCTTACTATATATATTATGTCTGATGCCATTCAATACTTTATCCAAGTTTATTATAAATCATTGAAGAATAATTACATTGTCTAGTAAAATTAATGACATAAATATAGAGTAAAATATTTTAATAGGTATATTAATTACGTAGTTACTTACTACGGGAAAGAACCTATGACCTACATCTATTAAGAAATCTATGTTAAGGACTTATAAAAGCGAGTTAAAGTCTTCATATTATTGTTGCATTATTGTATACATCATATTGTATGTAACAATATATTATTGCCATTGGTGATGGTAGTAACAAAACTTCACAAAAATATCGATCCAGGGTGACAACAAAGGTTGCCTACTATCGTATATATATACCTACTATCGTATATATATGCCTACTATCGTATATATACCTAATAATATAAACTAGCGACTTACTCTCCCTTCGCTTGTGTTCGTCCCTAGGTACATTTTTTTTGAGCGAAACCCAAATTTTTTTTCTGAAATAAAAGTAGCCTAAGTTACTCCTTAGAATATCAACTACCTGCCAGTGAAAGTCCCGCTAAAATCGGCCCAGCCGTTGCGGAGATTAGCCGGAACAAACAAATAGACAGACAAAAATTTTAAAAATTGAGTTTTTCTTTTAAATACCGTATATAATTCCATATGCATTTAGTAAAAAGCTGTGATTTTGACATTACAAACAGACACTTCAATTTTATTTATCTGTATAGATGTATTGTGTTAATAAAATAGGACAATGCAAACTTTTGTATGGGACGATGGCATTATTTTTTATCTTATGCCAGTAATGATACTTAGATCATAAAAAACTATATTAGAATTCTAAAAAGACACTAACTCGCTATACTGAACTAACCGGAGATATACGTAGTGGTTGCTATATCAACTTATCAGGCGTTATTTTTAAATATGTACTACTACATTGTACTCAACCAGTTTACGTATAGCTATTTGTCCTTCTTTATTTAACGTTGGGAAATGTATTTTCACATACCACCTGCATACATACGTAAGTATATGGGACGCCAGAGCTGCTGAGGCAGACCATAACAACCATAAAACCATGTTGCCACAGTCCACTCTGCTATCAGAGAAGTAACAGGAATAGTCTACATGGTACACCGACCACTGAAATGAGCCACGCCCGGTTGGATAGCCGCCTTGCTAGATCTAATACAAATATTACTTCTACACGGTGTATCTGTAGCAAGTTAAGATTTAAGTTTTACGTGAATTTGTACTTAGGTATTTCTAAAATTGTTACACTTTAATGTTTAATTAAATATATATGCTTAGTGCTCAGGTTTATATATTTGTTACACAAGAATAATGATTGATGAGAGAGTTCAGAGTAGCCATAGTCACAGTAAGTATCATGGTGTTACAATACACTAGAGTCCTTTACAAAGTATTAAGTACTTACAAATATCTACTAACATTTTTTTAACTTTAATGTATTATTTTGTAGTATATCTGTCTGGATGTAATAGATATCCTTCGCTTAATATATTCTTTTAGACCTTATGTTTCTCAGTTGACATCAGCAATAATTTATATCAGATTATAATTTAATTCATGTTAGTTTGCTCATTTTACGTTATATTTAGTCTATATTAGTAAATGAGCTCTACATTGACCAATGCGACGGTTGTCGTAAATTAACGATTTACACAAACAATCACACTTAATAATGTACATATACTATAGTGTACATATATTAATCAAATGCACATATATTGGAATATCAATGTTTTTATTTGTAGGGGATTTTTATCTCAAGTTACAGATGACTCACCATTTACCAATCAAGTGGGTCACTGAACGAAGTAGGTAGGTATATGTACACATACTTAGTCTATACATATAATAAAATTGTAAGTAAGCCGAATCTGTACATTATATATTTTTTGAAAAATCTTATTGAAATAGACATTATGATCGATATAGAAGCCGAATCTATAGATTTTAGAATTTTTGTCTGTCTGTCTGTTACCGCATCACAGAAAAACCACTGGAGGGATTTTGATGAAATTTGGTATGGTGATAGCGGGTTATTCGGGTAAACATATAGGATACTCTTTACCGCGGGAAAATATCTCATTTCAAAAACTGCATTGTAAGAGTATACTAACATGTAAAACCTAAGAATTTGCTTTTTGGTCATCTGAACGCGGGCGGAGTCGCGGGCAATGCTAGTTGTTTATAATCTTACGATATGCTTTATTTGCTTACGTCAATGAAAGACGAAATTACATTAAAAAACTTGTTTATATTAATGACCATGAAACTACTATAGATTTGTAAGCATATGAATATATAAATTTATAGAAATTTATAGCAAAACATGATTATAGTTCCGTAGAAGATTTTATATGCGTGAACAAAATATTATTCATAAAACACACGTAAAATCGAAGAACTTTATTTAAATAATAATTTTATTAAAATTAAACGTTGAAATGACTACGTCAAAGTGTAGACAGTAGACACACCTATGTACTCGTTTAATTTAATTACAGTACCTACATTCTATAATTATACAACGTAGGTAATTAGTTTTAAATTGAACTTTGAATTGAATTTGATTAATGTCTTATGAATACGAGTATATCGATAAAACTTTTAGTACACATTTAAATTATATTTAGGAAATACAAGATATATTTCTGATAATTGCTGATAATATAATAAAAAAAAATAAGTGGAATAATAAAAAAATACAAAAATAAAAAACCCGACTGCTTAAATAGCGAACTAAAAAGATGAGAACAAGTTGACAAAGGAACGAAAGGAAGTATTATACAGTCGGAAACATACACACACGTAGCAGGACGCAGCTATTATGAAACATGTACATATATATACGAGTATGTACATGTTTTATAATAGCTGCGAGTATATATGTATATATATATATATATATATATATATATATATATATATATAGTGAATTATTTTAACAACATAAATTTCTCTTAAATTTTATTAATAGATAGCGTTACTCGAGAACGTTGAAAAAAGGAAAATACTTTTTAGAAATAGAGTGAGCACTTGTGTTTACGCGTAGGTATACTTGTGTTCTATAATATTTCTTGCCTGGTGCCTAGCTTCAGTGAGACTGGCCACCATTGTCGAAATCGACCAGGAAGATTCTATCGTAATTTTATTTTATACTAGCATTGCCCGCAGCTCCGTCCGCGTTTAGAAGAACAAAAACCAAATTCTTAGGTTTTACATATTCATATACTCTCACAATGCAGTTTTTGTATTTTTTCTCAGAAATGGGATAAATTCCCGCCGTAAAAAGTAACCTATATGTTGACCCGGATAACCAGCTATCATCATATCAAATTTCGTCAAAATCCCTCCAGTGGATTTTCTGTGATGCGTAACAGACAGACCGACAGAGAGATAAAAATTCTAAAAATTTGGCCTCTGTATCGATAATAAGATTTTCCAAAACAGATTTAATGTACAGATTCGGCTTAGATACTATTTTATTATATGTATAGATATGTATTTTTTTGATACTAACCTACATATCGCCTCCGACAAATTTAATTTCTATAATCGATATCGCTAATAAACAAAACACATAGAGAATAACATATTCTGACCACATCACACAACGGATATTTTATATATTTTCTAATCTTTTATTATTAAAAGGGATTGCAGAATGTCATCTTGTCTAACCTAAATAGATTCTTCTTAAAAAAATAGTACAGAAAAAATAAGTTTATTTACAAGTCACATTTTACACATACATTATATAATATAAGAAAACAAAATGAGATATCTTAGCCTTAAACTGCATATATACCTATATGTATAAATTTTATTTTTGTAAACTTTCACACTAACTTAAGTTATGAGGAACTTAGATAAGCTTAAACTTAGATATTATATAATTTGTACTAAAATTAATAATATTTTTTATTTACAACTTAACTTATATAATACAAAAAATCACACAATGAAATTCGATATAAGATAAATCACCTAATTTATAATAGTAACATATTTTATGAGAATGATGAAAAACTAATTAAACATAAAGCCCTATCACTTGATAAGTGTTATTATCGAGGTTAAGTGTTTTTGATAAACAAACTATAACAATATATTTAAATAACGGAGACTTATAATTTAACACAATAATTTGAGAAAAGTTATACAATACTTATTAAAACCCTGCTTCTTGTAAAATTACATCTAAATCTCGATAGGAGGATGGAAAAGATGTGTAATGCGGCCAACTTTGGATTTCTTTGTATAAAGCATCACCAGGGCACTCAGTATCCCTCACTTGCCTGTGGCCCACGAGTTTGTATTCAGGTTTGACGAACCCCAGCTCTACTCCGGAGGCGATCAAAGCTTGTGCTGTTTTCAATTGTTGCAATGGCGGCACGGAATCTAAAATGTAAGAGAACATTAGGTACTGTATAGATCTACGAGTATCTCAGTAAAGGTAAATTTACATTATTTAATCAGAGGATATAATTGTTAAAGAATAACTTAAAAATTGTATTGAAATGATAAATTTGGCCGTTATTTCGCGGTAGAAACATAATATTTTATTCCCATATATTTTTTTATATTTATATAGAAAACTAAGCGACTAACCATTGCTTCGCTCGAGCGCATCCGTGGGTAGATTTTAAAGAGATAAAAAATTTATTGCGAGTGTACTTTAGGAGATAGACATATGCACTTTCGGACTTTTTTGAGGCCTTTTCAAGACCTACAATTCGTTGTTTGGATGTATCTCTAAAGGTTAAGCTAGCATTAGCCATGTATATTTACGTATTAAGGACGACGCGACAGAACGAGTTGTGTTTCCTCGAGGCAATGAAAGATTTTCCTGTAATACAAGACATCCTAAATGTTGACCCGAGTAATAAGTTATTAGTACACAAAACTTAGTTAAAATCTGTTGATTACGTTTAGCGTGAAAAGTAAACAGATATACAGACAAACAGACAACAAATATTGTTTATGAAAACCTATTGTTTTGGGGTCTATATATATTTTGTACTGCACTGTACGCTTCGCTCGGCTGTATCTCTAGTACATACGCGGATTTTGTTCACAATTTCATAGGTTTTAATTTTTTGTTCTTCTATATACGGTTTTTTCTATATACGGTACATTAATAAAAAGCTGTTATTTGGATATTAAAAACAGACACTTCAATTTTATTTATCTGTATTCTGTATAAATGTAATTATTCTGTATGTAAATCATTGTTTTAAAAAAATACGTCTTAAACAGATTTCGCTTTCTTAATATTTTATTATATGTATAAATGTTTTTTTTTGATGTTATGAAAATATGTGGTAGCAGAATTGTACAACTGAACATCACATTCTATATTATTAAGATTTTTATATACACGCCTGAAAACCAAATAACAAAGAATTGAATTGATTTTCATATAAAAATACCATCCAAACCGACTTTCCCGTCAGCCGCTTTCAAGTGATGCTCCGTCATACATGGGACAATTGATTTTTATATATATAAAAAATTGAATATAACGGGATTATCACACTGCTACTATCAATTCATAAAGTTCACTAAAATTTTTAACAGAAAACCTAATAACATTTTGACTCTTGCCGTTTTGCCAATGGAATTATGAAATACTAGTGAGAAGCGACTCACCCTCGCTTCGCTCGGGTTCGTCCCTAGGTTGATATCCCATACAAACTTTCATTCCCATTTTCATCCCCCTTGAGGGATGATTTCCTGCATAAAAAGCATCCTACGTCCTACCCAGGGACTCAACCTATCTTCTTACCAAATTTCATCTGAAGCGGTTCAGTAGATCCAGGGATTACACCCTACAACCTCACAATTTCACAAACTTTACCTCTTTAAAATATTAAGTATAGATTGTGATGTAAACAAATGTAATAAAACATAATACATAATATATAAATCTCACTTGTCCAGTCTCCGATGAGGCAAATGCCGATGCTGACGTTGTTGAAGTGTAACGAGTGGGCTCCCAGGACTCCCCAACCTCTGCCTTCGTACGCCACGCCATCCCCACCCACAGCAAAACTGGTCATTTAGATTAATAATTAATTATAATTAATGATTATTTTTATTGAATTATTTATCTTCATTTCTGATTACACGAATAACTTTGTTACATGTATAACATTTTAAGCAAAGGCCGGTACACAAAAAATCGAGTTGCGTCAAAATCAAACTAAAAAGATGTCTACGAGCATAGTAAATATTATATTGACGGACAGCCAAAAGTGTTGGTCTGTCCGTTACATCAACTTGTTTCCATCTTTTTAGTTCACTTTATGTTCAGGTCAAACACATAACTTTCCTTTTGAGCTTCGCCACAGTCGGATCAAAATCGCACAGAAGGCACTTATTATGCTGTAATGCATAATGAGTTATGCCGTTATCTCTAATCATGATATATGTAGAGTGAATGTACTTTAAAGAAAATGACTTCAGCTTACTGATATCCGATGTCATTCCAGCCTCTATCATCCATGTGGAAGTTCTGCATACTTCGCATGGCTCGTTTGCAATGAGGTGCGTCGTAACACGCAGGAGGCGAGTGTGAGTGGTGAATGACGACGTAAGGCACGGGTGAAGGCAGAGGATCCTTCGCTTTGGGTATACGTGCATGCCATTGGGAGCGCGAGACGAAAGGATAATTGTACGATATAACTTCATTTCCAGTAGATTCTACTAAAAATATAGCAAAAACATTATAAACTAGAATATTCACTGTTATTAGAAAAAAAACGATAAATAAGTACTTTAACCACTTCTTGAGCGAGTACGACTTACACTTGGGCAATTTTTGTTATTGTTGATTTATTTTGTAGCCTGCGCTATGTTAGTACAAGAGTAGTTTTTTTGTATTTTCGCCTAAGTATAAAAAAAAATGTATTTTAAAGATGATAGAATGTTTTACTGATAGTTATAAAATGCTGCTGTAAAATTAGTTTTGCTAAATATAGGTAAAAAAACATTAGTAAAAAGGTGTGTTTATGATTTTGGTTGTAACATACAATTAATAAAAATTTCAATCATTTTTTTATTTCTTTTTAATTCAAAAAGGGTTTAAATCTACTAACATAAAGAATTCTTTTAACCCATTTACCAATGTATCGACAAGATTTCTTCATTAATTTTACTTTAATAATGTACTCACTTAGAAAAATCGTAGGTTCTCCCATAACTATAGCGATCATTTGAATGCACACGGCTCCGGACAAACTCACCATCACAACAAAGCGTCTTCCTCTCATCGAAGAAATTAAAATCTGCAAAATATTACTATGTAAATAGGTATATGAAATATTCTTTAATTTTAAACGCACTTTACGTCGATAATTTGAGGTGTTTTGTTTTACAAATGCTTATCTTTAGAATAATACACTCATATCTATGAATTGTGACGTTTCCATTGTTTATCTCGACCGAATTGATCTAATTATTTTGTGTTATAACAAATATTTTTATTTATTTTAACATAAGTAAAACAAACCGAAAACATTAAAACGATAGGTACCGATACTAGACCGTGTATCGTTTTTGCGTATGGTGCGTATGGCGCACACAACAAAGTAATAATTTTATACTCATACTAGCAAAACAAAATCAAACCAATCCCATGGGAACCGTACAGTTTTCTGGGATAAAAAGTAGCCTACTCCAAATTTCATCCAGATCTGTTCAGCCGTTTTGGCAAAGGTGCAAGAGTAACAAACATCCATACTCATAAAATTGCACATTTATAATATTAATACCGATTTTCGTGTAAAAAACCATGGACCATGGACTATCATTAACATCTAATAATTTAGATACATTCGGTTACTCTCAGATTAGGTTTATAAGATATATAATAAGTATTTCGTGACAAAAATTAACAGTATTTTATTCCCTGGTCAAATAAATAATATAAATTAGTAAAAATCTTTTTAGTGTAGACATAGTAGTAGCAAAGCAAGAAGAAAATATTTTAATAAAATATTCGCTTAAACCGTTTAGTTACTTTACTAATAAAAGCAAATTTTAGTAAGTCTTCGTATAAAAAATGGCATCAAAGTAACTTCAACGGTTTAAGCGAATATTTTATTAAAATACTTTCTTCTTACTTAGCTACTACTATATATGTATATAATATATACCAGCCGATACAAAGCAAAGCACACCGACTTCGAAAATATTTTATTAGGTATGTATAGTAAATGAAAACTTCTACAAAAAATCAGTTACTTTTTACTTTTTATTGCTTTTTTTGAAGTCGGTTTTTTTAAATGTTTTTATTGATGAAGTCGGTTGAAAATAGCAACATTCAGGAAGTCGGAAGAGGTGAATTATTATTAAGCAATACAACAGCCAGTGCACAGTAATGTATATGTAATATTACCGTGGCCTGTGTGTGCTATCTTTAAAATATCTTTTAAGACAACATTAATTACTTTTGTCCGATATAGTTGTAGGTAATATTATTTATTATATAAAAGCACTAACAATAAAATTATATAGTTAAAATGAATTTGAGATATAAGAATATTATCTTCGCTTTCTATGTACATACTACATAATGAGAAACGTAAGTTTTATCTTATTAAAAAAAATTAGATCATTTGAATCTTTCATATTTTAAGATAAGTATTCAAATATTTTAAATAAAAAAAAACGATTAGCTCACTTAACCGGTATTTTTATTTTATTACAATACATACCTCAAATGTAAGAAACAAATGCTGCGGGTAAAATCACAATAATATATAATATTTGAATGACGCAAAAATCACTTAATAATATACTTTGCACTATAATAAACTAGTTTTTGCATAATTTTACGACGGCCAGTTTACACTTTGGCAATGGCGATAGTATTATACAGTGTTTGTTGTGTTGTTGGTATGTATATAGTCGTCTGCTTGTCGAGGTTAATCCCCGCTGTTTCACGGATAAAAACGTGAAAATCGTACACTAAACGTTACAATTGATTACAAGATTTTATTTGTCACGTCCGGTCCATTGATACTGATTTGATTGACTTAATAGATAAGATATGGACCAATTTGTATTATTAAAAAAAAACCATAGCAGAACGGATAGGTAATTGTTCTATTTTTTAACGGTTTCCGTAAATTGATGCAGAAAACATTATTACATGTCACTGATTTTTGTATAATATAGTTTAAGATATTTAGTAAATATTTTATGAAATTCCATACAGCGTTTTAACTTTTTATATTTTTTATAAAGTAAAGTACCTTGGTTTAAAGTTATTAACTTTAGATTTATTTAAGCAACCCAAGCAAGACACGAGACACATTAGAATTCTATCAAATAAATTTTAGAAAATACTTAGCTTTTTTGTATAAAAATCGAAAATAACTATTATTAAAATAGTATCAATAAATAATCTTTTTCATTTTGACGCAGACCCTGATAAGGTGGGCAATGGGAACATAGCTATATTATATAAGACATATGTAGTACCTATACCCTCTTACGTGTTGAGGACGTGGCTCCTAAGCATCAAGAACCTTCAATTCACTAAGTTGATAGTAATAGTAAGCAAGCCTGAGTGGTTTAATACCTAGCATATACTACCAGCTGCAGATCCCTGGATCCTAGGTCAGGCCAAAAATAGTTTTTCTGTTTAGAAACTATCATCATCAGCCCGTCCAACCAGTCGATCGGAAAGTTGGTGTTGTTGCACTTTCGTGTCTCGGAGAGCACGTAAAAGTGTTGGTACTGAGCTCGACAGATCCGATCGTGTCCAATTGTCATCCAACTGGGCTTTGATAGTGAAAGGATTAACGAATAGAGAAAGCGCTTATGTTAGTGCACATATTTATGGACTATATCTCCTGCACAGTTGGCTAGTCTTATTATTATTGAGATTGGCCACCGTAGTTGATATCGGTTAGGAGGACATTATTAACATTAGTAATAGCAAAGGTCTTCAGAATCTGTCTAGGTTATATTATGAGACTTAAAGCAGGTTTCGTTTTTATAACAAATACTCCTGTGACTGTATTGAGTATGTTTTTGCTATTTTCTATAACTTAAAATTTCCGTCCCAAACCAATTTAAAAGACATTATACTATTTTTTTTATTTTCGCATTTCATAATTATATAATAATTACACTACGAGACTTAAACGCATGAATTTCTAAGTGGCTACATACCTTATTCCCGAAGTTTCGACTGGATTGCACTAACCGAAAAGGAGTCTAGTGTGACCATGGCTATATAGCCACTTACGAATTCACGCGTTTAAGTCCCGTAGTGTAATTATTATAATATGTATTATACTCAAATGACTAAAGTCAAAATTTAGAATATCATAATCCAATAACTTATGTATTAAATTCGATATTGTATACAGTATGAGCTAGAACAAAATACGAGTTAAGAGTTATTGAGATGTATATTTCCATAATATTTTGACATTACTAACTGTAGACACTTTTAAGTAAAAAAACTTTCAATTGTCAAAAAAAATAAAAAACCGACTTCAAACAAAAGTTTTCACTAAAAAGTCATTAAAAAATAACTGATTGGTAGTTTGTGGCACTGTTCTATACCTAACCTAATCAAATATTTTCGAAGTAATTAATAAATAATGCTTAAATGTATGGGCTGGCACCAGATATGAGGAATAATATATAATCTAGGTATGTATTTAACCTAACCAGGTAGGAATAATAATAATAATACTTAGCCAAACCACACCGACGAAAATAAATTTGATTAGGTATGTATAGTAAGTGAAAATGATTTTTTTTACCAATGTACATTGTAAAACAATATTTTTTACTAAATCAAATAGTCATTGTATTTATAAAGTGAAATAAGTCGGTTTTTATTTTTTTTAATAGTAATATTTACCAACAGAAAAAGCAAAAAATAATCAAATATAATCTTTGTCCCTTTTTAGTGTATAAAACAGTAGTAGTTTTGCTTTTGTCAAAAGTAAGAATTCTAACGTGTTTAGGCTTGTCAAATTCAAAAATATTAAATACAATAAAGCATTAATTGTTGTGAAATGTGTATCTACTATTAGCCGTACTATTCGATAAAGGATGTTTATCTTCTGGCCTTACCATCAGATTTAGGTCAACAAACCGAACCACTGTACTATCAATGTGTTAGATATAGAAACTTTAAGTCTCAATAATTTAAAGTTAATATGACAATTAGAATATTTTAAATTCATCATTAGCTGCTTTTCCACTCACTCCGAATGGGGTAAAGAGTATTTTTTTTTGAAATTGTAAATGGGACCAATAACTGGAATCTTTTGTGTATTACCCAAAATTTCAAACATTTCGACAAAAATTGTCCCAAATCGGTTAATACCACCCAATGACGGAGTTCTGAGGTATACATAATCCAATAACTTATGTATTAAAAAAAAATGAGCTAGAACAAAATACGAGTTAAGAGTGTTATGTATATTTCCTTAATATATACAAAATAACTGTAACTTTTAAGTAAAAACTTGTTAAAACTAGTAAACAAACAACAACAACTAGCTAAAACAAGTTTGAATTTCTTTTAAATCCATTTAAAATTCTATTATGTTGCTTACCTATATTCGTTAATATTAATAAAATAAAAAATATATAAGACCATAATCTTCACTGGCACTTTCTAAATCAATTGTACAATAAATTACGTAGGAATCAAAACATGTTGCATTATGTATGTAAAACCTTCCATTGTAGTTAGACCTTTATTTGTTCACGATATTTTATCGCAATCGTTATTTGTTATAAACGTGTATTTAAATTATCATTAGAGTGCCACTAGTGAGTACAATAATATGTTTATGTAAATACTGAATGTTTTTCATTTATGAAATAGTAATATCTGACGCTTTTGCCACGTGTAATATGGTATGAATAATTTCTGAAAAGGAAACAAATTCACGTAAACATAAATAGAAATAGGTGATAGTAAAATAAAATGATATTTAAACAAAAAGTATCTTATGGGGATGTTCAATTCGAAGAGTGTAAGCCATTTCTTATAATATGTCTATCGAAATTTAGGTATAGTTTTTATTCTATTGTTTGAACATTTTTTTTTGCGAGGGAGCTACTGTTGTGTCAACACGCAAAATAGAAGCTCCGTAAATAAAAATCTGTTTTCCTGGTTAATAGTGCATAAAAGTTGTATACGTAAATTTTAAATATTGTCTTGACTATCTAGTATTGTATAAAGTTGAGTGTGTGCGGCAAAACTCTGGAAATAATTATCAAAAGGAAATAATCATGATTGTACAAACTTTTCATGGACTGCGTTACAAAGTGCAAATAAGTTTGTTGTGCTAAATCAAAATCAAACAGTACTAATAGTGTGAACAATTGTGATATTAGCAAAATTAACGTGGATAATAACAGAAATCTGATGTAAAAAGTGAGACACTGTTAGAGATGTGGGTGTTATACTAAAAAAGATTCACTACATACCGACTACTAACACTCGAAAGGATTAAGTAGTTGTACATAAGGCACAAAAAATTCGCCGTACGTTGGCCCGTTGGTCGAACGTGTGGTTTCAAGCAAATGTAATAGCGCGACCCGAGTTCAAATCTCAGTTTCTGCAAGGCATTTGTTTTCATTTTAATATTTGATTTTTAAATTGTTATTAACATTAATAACTGGTGAAAATGTCTAATACCTCGTCAAATAATAATATATGTGCGGGATGCAAAACTACGTTACCAAAGAAGGAATTTCTTACTTGCAATAATTGCAAAGCGAGATATGATACCGAATGTGGCAATGTACCTCTAAGATAGTTTCATCAAATGTACTTACATCTAAAAAATAACTGGAAGTGTCCCGAGTGTTTGAATAGGCAACCGAAACTAGGCAACATACATACACCTATTAGGTCAGTCACCACTTCAGACGATTGTAGTAAGTCTTCCACTGACTGTATGGAAGTATCCTATGTTACGAAACGTAAAAAAATCAGCCAATCGCCACAACGTTCTAACTCTCAATACAAAGTCGATAACACAGACCTCACAGAATGCAAACTACGTAATATTATACAGCAAGAGTTAGCCACAACAATCCAGAACTTAGTAACAACGCAGCTTAATACTATGAGTGACCAAATAAAAGGTTTTTGTGAATCACTGAACTTTATTAACGAGCAGTATGAACAAATGAAAGCAAAACATGAGGAAAATTCCAACATAGTCGACCAACTAAAACGTGAAAATGATAACCTTAAAGCCTCAGTTAAAGACCTTACGTCCCGATTAAATACTGTTGAAGTGCACATGAGGGAGAACAACATTGAAATAAACGGTATCCCTGAAAATAAAAGCGAAAATTTATCAAATGTGATTGTTCAATTAGGTAATATTATTGCAAATCCTCTAAAAGAAGATGACATACAACATGTAACTAGAGTTGCGCAATTAAACAGGAATACCGAGAAACCACGATCCGTCATCGTCAAACTGCGAAGTGCAAGGCATCGTGATGCTATTCTTGCGGCTGTTGCCCAATTTAACAAAAAAAATCCTAACAATAAACTAAATTCACATCACCTAGGTATTGGAGGGACTAGTAAGCCTATATATGTATATTTCGGAACATTTATCACCGACGAACAAAGCACTTCACGCGGCCACACGTATAAAAGCGAAAGAAATGAAATACCGCTTCACTTGGATTAGAAATGGAAAAATTTTCGTAAGGAAGGATGAATTTAGTCAAGCTAAACTAATCAAAAATGAAGACTGACTTAGGCTTATCAACTAACATCATTATTCATACAAATGTTATGGGTATTAATTAAAACAATGTTAGAAATCTATTATCAAAACGTAAGAGGATTAAGAACTAAAACGAATGATATCTTGAAAAATGTCCTAAATTCTGATTATAAAGTTGTAGCGTTCTCTGAAACTTGGCTAAACTCCTCTATCTCTAACAATGAGCTGTTTGATTCGCGTTACATAGTTTATAGGAAGGATCGTATTTGTTCCAAGAATACAAAAAAAAAGCGGAGGGGGTATATTAATAGCTGTATCTAAAGATATTTCTTCTTGTCGAGTATCTCACTGGGACACTGACGATGAAAATATGTGGGTTATATTGCACATAAATAGTGATCAGTTAGTTAAAAAAATTGCTCTTTGTGTTGTCTATCTACCACCTCCAGTTAAAGTTGAAAATGCTCGTAATTTTTTTGAGAATATAGATCTTGTTACTAATCAAATTGATGACGTGATAGTAATATGGGTTTTATTGAATGGAATGTAGGTGATAATTGTTCGTATATGATTCCATCAAATTATCATAACGCGCTCGGTTACTCATTAATTGATTTAATGTCTGCTAACGATTTGCACCAGTACAATAATATTAAGAATTGTGATGACCAACTTTTAGACCTGGTAATTACCAATATATCAAATGTAACTGTAGCTAAGCCTCTTGATTTGTTAAGCAGACTGGATTCATATCATCCGAATCTATTAATAATTGTCTCGTACCCACATTTATCTTACCTCCGGCCCAAAGTTTGTGTAAGACATAGTTTTTATAAGGCCGACTATACAGAGGTTGTTAACGAATTGAATAATATAGATTGGCAACACAAATTCTCTAATTGTATTAATGTTAATGCCATGGTTGAGATCCTTTACACTACATTGTACGACATAATAAAACGTTTGGTACCCAAGCGAAAATTATCAAGTTCTAAGCATCCAAATTGGTTCAACCACAACCTTACCAAATTACTTAAGGAGAAG